TAGGCAGTGATTCTGGAATATATTCTGAAATGGGAAAATAGGGTGGAAAAATTGCTTCTAATATCCTACCATTTGTCTGTACGAAGGGAGGGGATTTAAATATGTATGCATTTTTATTTACATTAAAAATGGAAGGCTACGTTGACATTTTTAGAAAGCTTTGCCTAGAGGGGAAGGAGCAGACAAATAGAGAAGGGAATAGGGGCGCCTGGGTGGCGCAGTTGGTTAAGCGTCCGACTTCAGCCAGGTCATGATCTCGCGGTCCGTGAGTTCGAGCCCCGCGTCGGGCTCTGGGCTGATGGCTCAGAGCCTGGAGCCTGTTTCCGATTCTGTGTCTCCCTCTCTCTCTGCCCCTCCCCCATTCATGCTCTGTCTCTCTCTGTCCCAAAAATAAATAAACGTTGAAAAAAAAAATTTAAATAGAGAAGGGAATAGAAACTGGCATTTTCTGCATATACCTTGTTTTGTAGATTGGCTCTAGAAGGCTGTAGCTATTTTTGCATTATTATCAAACAAAACAAGATTTTGAGAAGCAAACCCTAAAAATCAAAATCAAAGGAATCGAACTGTTTATTGGGTTGGCAAAACGGTGTCAAGAGGAATAATTCCAAATGGTTCTATATCATAAGAGCCTGAATTTATTATATTCTGATGGGATATTCTAAAGGTATAAAATAGTACCCCCCAAAAAATCTCGAACTGTCTTTACTAAACAAAATGTATATGGCTGTGTTAGTATTATGAATTGTTCTGAGGCTATTATGTTTATTGTGGGGTAAAGCAAATTAATAATGACGTCGGTTCTGGAGGACTCAGGTGCCCAGAAGCAAGTGGCCTTTCCAGCCCTTGGCAATTCCACAGTATGGGGCTTTCCCTCAACTTAGACTATAGACTAGGTCAGGAACTGGCAGCTGTAAGCAGGAGCTTCCAGATTTGGCAGATTTCTTCCTGTCTATGGCAGGATCAGCAGCTACCGCCCGGTGCCTTGTGACTTTGGAAGATGTTCTTGGAAGATGAGCCTAAGGTCGGTTTCTTTTCCTCTCTAAGCAATTCTAGAATTGTCTCTGTTTAAGATTTAAAAAAAATTTTTTTGAATGTTTATTTATCTTTGAGAGAGTGGGAGAGACAGAGCTCAGGGAAGGGAGGGGCAGAGAGAAGGAGACACAGAATCTATAGCAGGCTCCAGGCTCTGAGCTGTCCACACATAGCCTGAGGCAGGACTTGAACGCATGAACTGTGAGATCATGACCTGAATCGAAGTGGGAGGCTTAACCGACAGAGCCACCCAGGCTCCCCCAGCCATCTCTGTTTAAACTAGCTAAAGAAGATTATGTCCATTACATCTAAAGCATGACCCATTCAGAGATACTTTATTTTGTTAAATAAAATCGTTACGTGCAACCTCAACATAAAAATGGGTAAAAGCAATGTTGCACTAATTGAACTATCTTGAAGGCATGGCAGTGGGAAGAGAGCTGGGGGAAGCTCACCTGTTTCCCCCTCACTCCACCCTGCTGCCCAGGATGGTCCCTAAGGCACCATGAGGAGCCCTAGGACTCCCCAAACACAATCTGGAAGTCTATTCTTAACATGTTCGCCATTAATTATTAAGCACATGCATCACATTATAGATCTTGATATATGAATGGGTATAACATAAATTACATTGCCTGGTTATGTGTGAGCCACCACAACATAGGCTGTAAAGAGACAACAGCTTGACATCACAAACCTCACACAGAAATGGAGACGTTAGTTTCAGAGCCCCCAGCCTGGACTGTGATCATTATCAGCGTAGCACACGGGATGGACCCAGTGTCCCACCCATGGCACACATATACCGTTTCCTGTTAGATTTGTGGCTTGGTCACCCTTTGAAGAGCCCTCCAGTGCTCCTGAGTCCATCTCTTAGAGTCGCTTCTGCTCAGGAAGTTGGCCTCCTCAGAGGTTGGGTGTCCTCCCTCAGATCTGCCTTGAGCACTGGGTTCGCCAGTGTCCTGCTTTAGGCAAGTATGTTGACAGCTGGAGGGAAGTTCACCCACTGTGTGCCTGGCTGACAGTCCTGGCCAACCATCAGCATCAGCATAGCATGAGCTCCTAGTACCCGCCAGAGGCCCAACTCCCTGTACCTTGGCAGATGCCACAGCAGACATGCTCCAGTCAAATATACACTTTCATCCTGTGAGGGCTGGAGTGCCATTTGTCCCCTCCATCCTTACCCTAGTGTCCTAGAAGAAAGACTGAAGAGCCTTCATATTCTTTTGTCCTCCTTGGAGGTAGTCCTAAGCAGCCACGCTTCCTCTCTTCTGCAGGCCGTGTCTTAGACTCCCCTAGTATAAGTTGCCTTCCTGGGAAAGTGCCAGCACTTCCAAAAACTCATCTCAAGACTCACTGCCCAACAGGCAATTCCAAAGAGAAGAGATGATACACCTGTCTGCCCCTGCCTGTCTCACTAGCTAGTCGTGTGACCTGGGTCAATCCCCGGACTTACCCCGTTCCTGGCTTTGGACTATGTGGGTAATAAGCTCTCTGCTTTAAAAGAATATAACTCTATGTTAATAAATGTTGCAGCACATAGTAGACATACATGGAGTATTTTATCCATCTTGGATGGCTGGCTATTCACTGATTCTCTGAAATCGACCCTACCGTTGAAGGACACCTGAATCCACAGAAGAGAATGCCATTATTCTACCAATAATAGCTATTTGTTGGTCCCAGCTGGAACTGTTTGCACTTAGACTTAAAAATATGCACGCGAATCAACTGGCGTGTGAAGAGCTAATTCTTGTGCTGCGTATTGAGTGGCTTTGTGGCTTTGTAGAAGAGAATTCTCTTTTTGCTCCTGGATGGAAGGTAGAACGAAGAAGATACATACAAAGTGAGTTGACATAAAAAAAAAAAAAGGCAGAAGAAGATAGGTGTAGAAGTTCATTTCGAATGACCCATATCTTATTAAAACAGGTAGACATCTATATTGAGAATGAGGAAGGGGAATGTTCACATAAGTGAAAAAGGCATCCAGAGACATTTCAAAATTAAGGGCACTGGACCAAAGGTTTATTAATGTCTTTTAAAGCATATGTTTAATGTACTCATTTAACACACTTAATGCAAAACTTAATAATAACACACTTAATATATTTTACAGCACACATAATAGAAGAGAAAAGCAAAATCAGTCTACATAGTAGACTCTGATGATAGCAATAACATTTCTCTTGACTGTATGTTTTCACACATAATTAAATTATTTTACTTTTTTAGCCATCCAACTAGCACACAAAGTTTTAAGCTCTCCAAAAAGCAAATCACTTTCTACCACTGAAAATCTAATAAAATCTTTTTTTTTTTTTTTTTTTTTTTTTTTTTTTTTTTTTTTTTTAATTTTCAGCAATATCTACCACAGCCGTTTTAAACAGTGTCTGGTTTAAATCTGTCTGGAACATTCAGGCTGCATCCATATAGCCTAACCAGGCTTCCAGATCTACCCAAATCTTTCCTTTCTGTGTAAGGCAGATACTTGTCACTCACTCAGTGATTTTCATGGACAGCCATTATTGCTGAGGCCACCAAGAAGGCCCACAGGGCTGTGCTTGCTTTAGGGAGACAGACACATTTCTCCCAATGTCAAGTTTCACGCCTCCAAGGAAGAAATCTCTTTTTCCCTATTGATGTGCTTCTCCCATATGCTTCTCTCCGTGTACAAATGTCCTCAAGTCAAAACCGCCTTCCTTCCAGATCTCTTTCCTTTTCCTGCTCTCTGGCTAGTATTTTAGTTCACTGCTAAATAAATGAGCTAACAATTAATGATGACAATTAATAGTGACAATTAATAATAGTAATAACAACACATGAACTATTAAGTCTGTGCCAAGAACTGTGGTAGGTACTTTATTTATTCATTTGGTTCCCCTATGAAGTAGGTACAACTACTCTAAATTCCAGTTTTACAGATGAGGACACTGAGGCACAGACCGGTTAGGAAAGATTCCAGGGGCCACACAGAAGTAAGTAGCTAGCACAGGATTCGAACCCCAGCATCTTGACTGCACGGCTCATGCTCGACAACCATGCCCTGCTGCCTCCACATTAACGGCATTTAAAATATATAATTAAAAAAAAATCAAGCAAGTAACTTTTTATTTTTTTATTTTTTTCCTGTGGCTAATGAATACCAGTGGCTAACAGCGAATATGGAAAATCTGGTCTGGCACCATCCTGTCTATAAACATTCCTGTTCGTTAAATCAACAAATGTTTTAGACCAGTTTTGAAAGACCCTGAGAATGATTTGAATGAAAATGTGTGTCTCAGCATTTGGGGAAGTTCCCTCCAAACAGGCCCAATTAAGCAAGCCCTGTGCAGTGCTTTAGGGGGGTTCCAGTAACTGCGGGTCTGCAGCTGTGGTCAGCACACGCCGAACATGTCCTGAGGCCAAGGACTTGGCACACCTCGGTCCCCTACTCTGCACACAGCGCCACCCACTCTCTGCCCCATCCCAGGCACTCTCCACAGTGCTTAGAGGTAGGAGGCACTGTGGGGAAGTGAAGGCACCATTGCAGTTACTACATCACCTACAGGATCATAGAAAACGCCACTTCATCAATGAGAAAGAATGAAATATGGCCCTTTGTAGCAACATGGATGGAACTGGAGAGTGTGATGCTAAGTGAAATAAGCCATACAGAGAAAGACAGATACCATATATTTTCACTCTTATGTGGATCCTGAGAAACTTAACAGAAACCCATGGGGGAGGGGAAGGGAAAAAAAAAAAAGAGGTTAGAGTGGGAGAGAGCCAAAGCATAAGAGACTCTTAAAAACTGAGAACAAACTGAGGGTTGATGGGGGGTGGGAGGGAGGGGAGGGTGGGTGATGGGTATTGAGGGCACCTTTTGGGATGAGCACTGGGTGTTGTATGGAAACCAATTTGACAATAAACTTCATATATTGAAAAAAAAAAAAGAAAATGCCACTTCATGAACTTAAAATCCTTTAGTTCAATCATGAGCATTAAAAACGTGAAGATGTACCCTTTTTGTAGGGCGTAAGTTCCTTTGCTTTGTGCCCAGCCTCACCGTTGCTGAATATGGATTGAGAATGAGCACCTGTAGACAGTTACGGAGGAGGAAGAAACAGAAGAGGTCTGTTGCTTTTGAATTCTGGGTTCCACTGGGAGCACATGACCACAGCTCAATGTTTAGTCCTATCTCTGGCAACTTAGTGATGACTTTCATCTTCAGACTGTAAGTAAGATTTTCAGAGAGCCAAATATTTTTAATAGTGCCCTTTGTTAAAAATAGGCTCCTCCGTTCCGAGCCCAGAGCGTCAAGAGCTCTTTCTTACATTTGGCTTTTCTAAAGATCAGGACTGTGAAAGAACAGGGAAGACTTCAGATTCAGTTCCACAAGGCTTGACCACTTTTGCAGGCATCAGGTACAGAAGATTCTTCCAGAACCTTGAGTTATACGACAGAGGTTTATCAGCGTTCCACTTCAGAACTCTGTGAGATTTCAAAAGCTTTAGTGATTGGGGGAAGAATGTGAAGTCACTGACAGGTGTAAATTCAATTAAGATGATTTTAATTTTCCTTTCTACCAGAGCTTCATGGAGTCCACTTTCAAGTTCATACCTGACTTCATTAGACATGTAGCTTTTACTTAGGACAATGATCAGTCTTCGGCTTTTCTCTATCAATGAGTGGATTTCATCAACAATAGCTGAAAAGGGCAAGATGTGGCAAAGTAATTAAAGAGAACTAAAAGAGACAGGAGATGAAAATCATTTTGCACAGTCTAATTCTGTGTTATTTAACTTACTTCACTAGTAAGTTTTTCAAGATAAACCATTTATTCTTAATTCTATACACCTATGGAAAACAATCATCTAGAAAACAATAATGAAGTTGGCACTAATTCTATGCCACTCCCTTTTCTAAATGTTTTATGTATATCAACTTACTAAAGCATCATAATGATCCTATGAAGAAAGTATTGTCATCACCACCATTTTACAGATGAGGAAGCCAAAGTACAGAGTGGTTAAGTAACTTGCCTGGAGTCACACAGCTCGTAAATGGCAGAATCAGAACCTAGGTGGTCTAGTTCTGGAGCACCTGTTCCTAACCATCATGCTATTGCTTGCCTCTCCACAGGCAGGGAGGAGCACACTAAAATCCAAATTTAAAGATTATATATCTATATATCTATATCTATATGGAGATAGATCTATATGGAGATATAGATATATAGATATAGATATATAGATATAGATTAGATATAGATATAGATATAGATATAGATATAGATATAGATATAGATATAGATATATAGATAGATATCCATCCCACAGTTAGTCCAGACCAGAAGTTGACAAACATTCTGTAAAGGGCCAGATAGCGAATATTCCAGGCTTTTCACACCATCTTTGTCACACTGCTCATCTCTGCCATGTAGCTCAAAGGCAGCCACAGACAACACATGAACAAATGTCACCTTGCTGTGTTTCAACAGAGGTGACAGACTGGATCTGACCCATGGGTGATGGGTTGCCAATTTCTGGTTTAGACCTCTACCCTTTCTCAAATAGACGTTTTAATCCAAACTAATTACAATTAAATACGCAACATTCTTTATTTTTATATAAGAACCGAGAAGAAATCTATTTAATTAATTAATTTATTAAAAATTAGTATGCTTTCTCCTTCTAATTGGTAGTATTTTCCCTTTCTCATTTGTAATCTGGGTGGGTGGGAGGGGACCACAACTATTCCTTATTTACTGCTATGTTTTCAATGCCAAGCTCAGATTTTGGCACAAGGCTGGAACTCAGTATATGTTGCATGAATGGATGATAGTGACAATGAAAATATTTATATTGTATCCTTGGTAATGCACCAGCCCCCAAAACATTCTGACGCAGATTTCAGATATTTGCTCTGGAAGACTTCAGAGAAAATATACGGAAATGTAACTAAATTTCTTGGCTTCAAACTGGAATTTGCTTCAATGTATGTTTTAGGGTTGTTTATATTCATATACTAGTAAAAAACTGAATTTCATGACTAAAATCCGACATGAATCATCAATCTCCTTTTATTCACCCTTTTCTGACCGTAATTTTCACACCAATGCCAACCCAACAAAGAATAAGTATTTTCGGGTAAGAATGAACTGTGTTTATAGTGCAGAGAATCCCGTTCTGCTGTATAAAACATTACCAAAAGAGATATTCCTACTGTGGGGCATCTCTAGATAAATGCCTCACGACAATGCCGATTCTGGGCCTGGTTCTGAAAGTGGAATGCCCTTTCCCCAAAAGTTCAGAGAAGTAGCAAGCACATTGAAGAGCCTGGGGCCCAAAGAGGTGACTCTCAGAAGTAACGTAGTTAGCTTTTTTGTCACTACTGATTCTACTGATCTAGCTGGTCACTTTTGGTTTAGAGAATCGCGTTCATTTGTTTTTAAGGCAAAACGGGGTTGTCTTTTGTAAGGCTGAATTATTCATCTTTTACAAGGAAAATCTCTCCACCAGGTCCCTATCTTGTATTCCCTTTCTTACCTCCTCCAGGCACTACATCCCTTTCATATATGCATAACTTATACCCAAAGTGTTTCTCCAACACCCTGGGCAAAATCTCCACAGCAAAGGTGTGCTCCTCTCCATTTTCGGGTCCACATTCTTTTAGGTAAGACACAAAAGCATCGTATGTTTTCCCATCTAGGAAATAAGGTTTACTCTTTTAATTACAGTGCAAATAAAAGTTTAAGTACGAATTTGAGCAAAAGGCATGAAAAATGGGAGTGGAACCAATGAAAAGGAAAAATGAAATAGAGCATCTATCTGTACAGCATCTATAATCAAATTGTACACATTAAATATGTCCTGTTCCTTGTATATCAATTGGAGCTCAATGAAGCCATTTAAAAAAGAATAAAGAAAATATTTTTGCTAGAAAACAAATTAAAAATTAGAGCAAGAATGTTTAAACTAGGTAACCCGTAAGGTCCATCAAATATATTTTGGTTCTCGGATTCTTTTTAGACATTATTCTTTATCTAGGACTTTTTAAGTTGTCAAACACAAGAAATAAATTCATTATTAAAGACAAACAAAAAATAGCATCACCAAATCTCATATGCTAATCAAGCAACCAACCAGCAAATTGTTTTTTTGCATGTACATTAAGACTCCCCTTTTTGGATACTATAGAAGGATGGGGATAAATGCTAGATCCAGGAGCTCAAGGAATTTAAAGGCAGGTAAAGCCCAGGAGACCAAATATATCCTCAGTCTAGAATTGGAAAGCAAATCTCATCTCGGATTTCTTGTATCACCTAATTCTACCAGCATCCTCATATGTCTACTCTCAGAATGACTCACTGGAAAGCCAAGACAGAAACAAAGCTGAGAGTTTACATTGGCAAGTGAGAAGAGACAATAGAGGTGATTTAACAGAAGACCATGTGGGAAGGGAAGGGGAAAAAATAGTTACAAAGAGAGAGGGAGGGAGGCAAACCATAAGAGACTCTTAAATAGAGAATAAACTGAAGGTTGATGGGCGGGGGACGGGGAAGAGGGGAAAATGGGTGATGGGCATTGAGGAGGGCACCTGCTGGGATGAGCACTAGGTGTTATATGTAAGTGATGGATCCCGGGAGTCTACTCCCCAAACCAAGAGCACAGGTGCTAGATGCCAATATGAAAACTTCCAGTCTGTTGAAAGGTTTTCACTGATAATAACATCTGCTCCTATTTAATTCCTGATAATGAAGCGCTTTCAGGAGGTTAAGGCAACAAAGCCAAGATGAAAGTGTTACCTAAGCAACAAAGACCATTGTACTAATTGGGTAACTACAAAATTACATACATCTCTGTCTCCTCTACCTTCGTCCAATCTGTTTGAGAAGACAAAGCAGACAGACCCAACAACTTGAAAAAGTTTACAAAGAACACATTAACAGATGCCAGACGGTGTGACAAAACCAGCAAAACAAACAGAATCAAAACAGTCAGACACTACAGCGTGATCTCCAGGGGACACGCTTTCCGAGAAAAAGAAATTTTGAGCCAAGTCCTAAAGGATACAATTGATGCTAACTGGGATTGGTAGAGGAAGAAGGGGCAGTGGGTGGGGCGTGGTCTACCCCTAAGCCGTGACAGTTTGTTAGATGGTACAGGAGTTAGATGTATGCTTGCCTGTGTTATTGAAATCATGAACTTGCTACTGAGTTGAAAGCTAAATATCACTGGGTCCTTTATGAAAATCTAATAGGATGAAACCATTCCAGTTCCATGTTCTTTGTGGTGCCACATCATGCATGTTCAACAATTCAGCCTGGTACCTTCAATGGCTCACAAAACAACAATTTCTGTTTCTGGCAAATCTTCTTCAATTCCACCTACAGCATTCAGGTTCAGCAGTTCAACTCAGAGCCTACTGTTGATTTAAAGCAACTGGTTAGCAGAATCGCATGCATACAAAAGAAAGGACAGGGGCGCCTGGGTGGCTCAGTGGGTTAGGCGTCTGACTTTGGCTCAGATCATGATCTCCCGGTTCACGAGTTTGAGCCTTGCATTGGGCTCTGTGCTGATAGCACTTTGGATTATCTCTCTCTCCCTCTCTCTGTGTCCCTCCCCCACTTTCTCTCTCTCTCTCAAAATAAATGTCAACTTAAAAAAAAAAAGAAAAGAAAGGACATTTTGGTAAAAACTGTAGAATTAATATGCATATCGGAGGTAGGAAAAGCTGCTATAAAAAAAAAGAGCCAGTTCCTAGTTTAATCAGTAAGTGGGTCCCCCAAGTAATTCTGTTAGATTGCTGTGAAATACAGCTATTTATTAGTGTAAGAGCTAGTGTTTCCATTAATAGTCATTATGTCAACGATTAGAATGGGCGCCAAGGAGTAAGAAATAAATAAGTACACTTTTTAAAAAGGTACTCTTTTTTTGTAATCATGATGTAACTAATTGCAATAAACTGGAAAGACAATTCAGCCAAATTTATACTGTAATATGCAAGTAATATAGCTTTACTCTTACCCATGGAAAATTAGTTTTTCAACTATTAATTAATTTTCAAATGCCTTATTTCAAGCAATTCTCTTCTTGGTTTAGCAAATCTTGTAATTTATATTCTAATTTACTTTAAACCCAGGTAATGAACGGCTTGCTGGCTTTGATAACAAAGTAAAGTGCTTAAGGTAAGGTATCGGAAAGCTAATAATAATTATTTTGGGTTCTGTATAAACGAAGTCCTCATGTGAATGGGCATTTGGGACTTTAAGGAATCAGGCCAGAGCTTCTCAAACTGTGTTCAGCGAGTGACCATGTTTTCATTTAATTTGACTGGCTTGGGTTGATTTGTTTCATTTCCAGTCCTTCATAAACCAGTACTGAAAACATTCTTGGATATTGCAGCAATATCAATTGGCCAGGAAAGTTTAAATTTTTGCATTTTATCTCCATTTCTGCCCTTTTCCACAACTGATCTCTGTCATGGACCACACTTTTAAATATAGCTGATGTAGAGCACATCTGTAAATGTTTCCATGCACCGCTACATCGGGAGGTAGGAAGCGTGAACTGAAAAAAAAAAATGTGGATTGTGTCAAACACAACAACGAGGGGGAAAAAATCTTAGCTGAAGATCAGAAAGAGAGATATTAGTGAATGCTCATTTTGAGATACTTTCTGGTCAATGCAAGTAGAGACCTGTTCAGAAAGGGCCAACAAGAGACTTTTCGGTTGCTTGCAGCATTTCTCTCCATCTCCAAAATTGCACACACACAGGCTCAAAGCTAAATTAACTAGCTTTGCTAATTTTATATTATTTTTTAAATTTATTTTTATTTTTGAGAGAGAGAGAGAGAGAGAGAGAGAGCCTCAAGCTGGCTCCGTGCTGTCAGCGCAGAGCCCAACACGGGGCTTGATCCCACAAACCGTGAGATCACGAACTGAACTGAGATCAAGAGTCAGATGCTCAACCGACTGAGCCACTCAGGTATTCCTAATTTTATATTATTAATTAAAAGTTGCAAATGTGAAAAATCTGAGACTTATTTCATAACTTGAGGAGAGGAGGGTCTTTCTACTTCTGATCACAGATCTAGATTTAAAAAATCCATAATAATAAAAATGTACACCTGAAACTAACATAGCAGTGTGTTCAATTATCCTTCAAGAATAACAAAAAAAAAATCTTCCACATGTGACACTACTATAAGCAAAGTCAAAAGGCAGATTACAATCTGGGAATAATATTTTCATTTCATATTATAGACAACAGGCTAGCCTCCTTAAACTAGAAATAGCTCCTAAACATAAACAAGAAAAACAAAGGCCAACAACCCAAAAGAAAAAATGGCAAAGGCTATGAATGAGTACTTTGAGAAAGGAAATACAAATGAGTCTTACACAAATCAATAGTGACTCTTGCATAGGAAGCGAAATGGCAAACGAAAACTACACGGAGATACAACTATTTACCTATCAGATTGGCACATACTCAAAAGGTTTTGGGTAAGGTCATGGGACAAAAGTGACCCCATTCTTTGAAGGTGGCAGTGGTATAGTAATATGGGAGGCAAATTGGCAATATCCGCCAAAGTAACAATTGTGTCTACCCTTGAGAATTCTTCCTTCACTTATACTGCCCACAGTTGAACCAATGACTGTACAAAACTATCTGTCACATCATTTCAGTAATAACAAGTTGTCTTAAATAACCCACAAGGTGACCAAATAGACAGTGAGACATCCGCAGAAATAAAACACTGGGCAAGCCTAACAACTGAGAGACTTTACAAACTACTATAGAAGTGCCTCCAAGGCATATTAAATCAAAGTTAAAAATAGTGTACATAATATGCGAACATTCGTTGGAGCGGAATTTGATTCTATATTGTTATTTGTTTGGCTATACTGTCAATGGTGGATGAAGTGGGAAGAACATAGGATAGGATGACAGGGAGATATTCTGTTGTATCATTTCTCAGACTTTTTGTGTTTTGAACTATGTGTGTCCTACACACACACACACACACACACACACACACAAGCAAGTTTAATGGGGTAGACTGATTTTTTTTAAATTCAGTAGCCATCTTTCTTTTTTATTAAAGTATACATAATTCAATAACTGTCTTGAAACTTGAGGACTTCTTTAAATCACCTTTAAAAGTAGAGAAACTTAGGCACAGAGTTGCCACACAGAAACAGCCATAGATAAAAACAGGCAGTTCTAGGAAACTAGAACCCGGGTCATTTGACTTCTAGTCTGGGGTTCCTGTAGATACATCATGCAGCCTTCTTTGTCAGGTTAAAATAATGAACCATAATACAATTCAATTCCATTGAAATGAAGTTTATTGAATGTGCATATTGTTTAAGATGCCCAGATTGTGTGTGAATAACGACAGCTCATGGGCACAAGCATCTCACAGGCCATGAAGGAGGACGTGACATGCGTGCATAAAACAATTAGAGAACAGTTTTTGGCAACATATGAGCAAGCACAAAAAAAGGTGATACAAGACAACATTTGTGAGAGATGCTACATTCAAATCAATTTTTCCCATGGACAAACCTCTACCACACATGAAGTATAATCAAAATGAAATGAAGATTAATGTTTCTTTATTTGGTTTCTTTTTAAAAAATTTTTAATGTTTATTCATTTTTGAGACAGAGAAAGAGTGTGAGTGGGGAAGGGACAGAGAGAGAGGGAGACACAGAATCCAAACAGCCTCCAGGCTCTGAGCTGTCAGCACAGAGCCTGACGTGGGGCTTGAACCCACGAACCGTGAGATCATGACCTGAGCCGAAGTCAGACACTTAACTGACTGAGCCACCCAGGTGCCCCTCTTTATTTGGTTTCTTAATGAAGTAAGAAGATAAGAAAATCCAGCATTGTGATATTCATTACCTGTTAATGTTTCATCTTTTCTCATGAAATGTCTATAAAATAGAGCCAAGTCAACTCTATAAATGACACCCATTATCACTAGGCACACAACTACCACTGAGATCAAAACAGCCACAATCATTCCTCTGGTGAAGATGTAGCCTGGGATATCAGCCATATCTTCTAGAGAGGAAAAGAAAATGGAAATAATTAATGAAAGATGGTTTACCAGTGTCTCCCACCATCTTACCTCATAGTTGTCAGTTTTTATATTTAGCACTAATCCCAGTTGTCTATCCAACGCATTCCATTCGCTTAGTCCACATTCCTGCCTTTAGTCTGGAGTGCTGACCTTTCTACTCCGATTTTTAAAGAATAAAAATGTGTAAAAGGATATTCAGAGACCTGAATGGAAAGCATTGTGATATAGCCTGTCCCTACTTGGGGAAGGCAAGGATGATAAGATACCAGGGTGAAATTTCCAGGGACCCAAACATACATCTCAGCTGGTATGTTGAGAACATAAATGGAAGTACACAGTCTTGAGAGAGCAAGTGCTGAGCTGAGCTCGTCTGGGCTCCCAGCCTGGTTCCATCACTTAGTTTGTGTCCTAGGGAAAGTCACTGATTCCCTTCATTCTTAGCGTCTTCATCCATAATATGAACCCTTTTCTGAGCAGCTATTGGGCCAATGGCCCTGGGTTGCATTGTATTGGTGGAGGATGGAGGGGGGTGACTCTGGAACGTTCCATCAGGTAGGCAGTGAAAAATTTTAGGAGTCTGCAGATCTGAGCCATCAACTGTCCACCTGCCAGATCCAGGGACTGGTCCAAGAGGGGAAGCCTCAGCTAATCTTGGTTGAGTGCATGAGCACACGCAAGGGCCCCCTGTGCCCAGCGCCCAGCTAAGGTAGGCTGGAGGCCGCAGTACCTAGTATCATTGGCCTCATCCTACACTGAGCTGCAAGCATGCCTCTCATCGTTATGGGTACGTGAGGGCTGCCATGACTGCCTCCCCCATGACACTCAGCTACATCTCTCTCCAGGCTATATCTGCTCTGCTCTCTTGGGCCCCTGGTGCTTATCTAGGACTGCAATCTGATTGAGAGCAAAGGATTAGAGTTTGCGTTTTCATTTTCTGTATGAAATCAATGCACAGGGGACTCCGGCAGGGGACTGAGCCCCAGTTTAGCCTGAATACTTGTGACACAAGGCAGATAATTTCACCTTTTGGGAGCTTGCTTCCTGGGGTGTAAAATGAAGGGAGTGGTGATCTTTGAGGTGTCCCTCAGCAGCAACTTTCTAAGCTTCCACAAACTTCCAAAGTAAAACTTGCTCATACCTTTTTTCAACAAGACGAAGTTTATGGTGTCTGTGCCTCCCTCGCTGGCCACAGTGCAATTATATGAAAATTTTAGATTTTTTGCATTGATATTCTCAATTTTCAACATTCTTGACACATACAATTTGCCGTCCAGAGTTCTGTAAAAGAAGAAACAATTCAGTGACAGGCTTTGTTCATTGCCAGCAACATTGCTCATGAGGGAGGAATTCATATGCACAAATACTCAAAGGCAGTGGCTCTGTTGGCTCCATTGAACCTTCTCTTTCTGGTGGGTCCTCAGAGTGTGGGCCACCACAAACCTCTGCTCCTCCGGGGAGCATCAGGGTGGACAGAAACAGCCCTCCTGAGACCACCTGGGGATGACCGTGTGAACCGCCCAGAATGAAAATGTCTGGAAGGTAATGATGTTAAGTTCTCTCTCAATGATTTTCCCCTATTTCTCCTCGCCCAACGGCTTAGCGTTCTTCCCATGGGGGGGTCTCCACCGATTGTGATAAAGCTGCAAATAGTTCAGCAGAGATACAGATTCCTATCAAGCTTGTCCATGCAATCCTGAAGATCGCTTTTATTTTGTTCAGCATTGAAAACAAACTGAAGAATGACACTATTGTCAGATGCATCTGCAGGCATATGAAAAATACCAATTAAGCTGTTCAGCACATGTCAGAAAATGACGTAGACAACCATTAGCAGCGAGCTGTCTTTCTCTTCTTAAAAGATTCAAGTTGTCCTGTCGTCGATGCAAGGCAACTGCTCATGACATCTGCTTCCCCGTCAATGACAGGCTGTGAAAGCACCATGTCAACCAGCGCTCCCCAGGTGCGCTCACTCACCTGCCGCACCCCTAGCAGCAGGTGCCTCTATTCTTGGGACATGGCACCCTCTGTCGCCTCCAACCGTGTCAAATATAATTTGAACATGATTCTGTAAAGAAGTCACCAATCCAGAAATAGCAACTATCTCATATCAGTGAAAAATCCCGAAGTAAGGCACAAAAGGCCAGTGAGAAGCCAAGACAGATGACAGAAAAAGCACAGGCATAACTCTAAAGAAAGACCACCTTACTCTTAGCTTAGTTTGAGCTCCATTGCAGATAGTTTGGTGAGTTGGTCTTCTATCCCTCCAAACAGGAGCAACAGATCGCTAGAAGGGGGAAATGCAGAACTCCAGGGGAGGTTCGATGCTGAGGATAAAGACACAATGGCAAGACAGCCCTGCAATTCAGCTGAGTTACTAGTCACGTGCCTACTAGAAGCAAGTGGACAGACCTTGCATCATAAGGAGCTTGCAGACAAGTGTTAGCAAGAATCAAGAGTTGTTGCCGTGACATCAAAGAATTTTTTTAAATCTAAAAAGCAGAAAAAAATCCTCAAAAGTGCAGCTAAGGTAACAGATACCTTGGGATCCCTACTCTCTACCACCTGAGTATATCAGTAAAATACCAATTAATGACCCAAAGTCATTCAAAAACACTCAAACGACCACAGGCTTAGCACAATTTTCAAAATCCAAAAAACTATGGCCTAGGTAATCCCTCTTTTATCAGATGCTTAAGTAAATTGCCCATCCCTATCAGATCCTGACCAACCAAAAGCTACTTTTAGTAAGGCGATGTTAGAAAACCTCACTGACCTTCTTTTTCTAGTTTAGACCTTAGCAATAGATTTCTGCATAATCCATCAGCCTAGCGCATGGTAATTATCATTATAAAATATATAAATTATAAATTAAAATTTAAACTTATCTCAAACACCCAATCAGCCATTCAGGACTCTGGTGTTTTTTATAGCATGGATCTATGATACAATGTGATTTGTATATATCATGATACATAATACATCACATATACGTACCTATTTTTTTTTACGTTCTCTTCATGTACATTGGGCTCCTTTCCATTTTCATCCCACAAGTTCCAATAAATCTGATCCTTTTCATTCGCCAAAGCAGAGCAATTGAGGTTTACATCTTTTCCTACGTAAAAGTTGACAACCAATATTCTGATCTTACAGACTCAGATTTCCCAAAGGTATAAAATTAATATAATCAACATATATTAACTTAATACATAGAGCTAATGTAGTGCTACCTCTCAGAAAGAAAAAGATAGGCTTGGTTTTTAAATTTTAAAACATGTATAAAGCAGAGAAATTAGGTAGCAATTTTAAGTCATCCATAGCCTATGAGTTGGTTTCGCTTCAAATGTCTATGTTTAAATAAATTATTAAAACTTAGAGTGGCGAGTGGGCCTTCTTTTCAACATACAGTTTAGTAGGTAGTGTCGGGGCAACACTCCCACAGCAACTTCTAGAAAAACAAAATGGGTAAATCACACAAAATTAAGTTAGCCAGCAATGAAAGATATTAAAGTGCAGGGAAAACAAAGAGAAACAGCCAGGCTAAAAACGCAGCCAGGAAGAAGCCCTTCCAGGAGGAGCTGAGATAGCCGGCCATCTTATTCTTTGGAGAAATTACTTTGGGTTTGTACAGCACCAGGGGAATCTCCCAGAGAAAAGAGAGCCCAGGGGAAATTCTGACAGCCACACGGGCTTGCAGAATTATTGCCGAGGGCTTGGACAACACACAGGAGGCTGCAAAGGCTCAAGGGTCTCTCCTACAGTCTCACAGTACTTAGGGGAGAAAGTCCCACTTCCGGGAAGAGATGTACAACAAAGACAGGACTGAAGTCCTTGCATGCCCCACCCCACCCCATAACCTCCCTGCAGGGAATGCCAAAGGAAAGGTTTCAGACTCACAAAAAATTATCCCAGACGAAAGCAAGGCACTACATGAACAAATGAAGAGTACAAGAAAATACAAGTATCTCAGTAAATAAAAGAATTTTGGTCACCTAAAGCAATAACAGTGCCAATCTATTGTGAGTTTTATCACATATGCAGTAGGGAAATACGTAAACTAATAGCACAAAGTGAGTTAAGAAGACAAAGGAAATACAAGTCTCTAGCACAACTTTTTTTTTTATGTTTATTTATTTTTGACAGAGAGAGAGAGACACAGAGCATGAGCGGGGGAGGGGCAGAGAGAAAGGGAGACACAGAATCCGAAACAGGCTCCAGGCTCTGAGCTGTCAGCACAGAGCCCGACGTGGGGCTCGAACTCACAGACAGCGAGATCATGACCTGAGCCGAAGTCGGACGCTCAACCGACTGAGTCACCCAGGTGCCCCTCTAGCACAACTTAATGAAGGACACAAAAAGGTATAACTAGATAGAAAACAAATCATATTAAATGAAAGAAAGAAAAAATACTTTATGAATCCAAAAGGAAGGGAGGAATAACAGGAACAAATAACACATAAGGCAACTAACAAACACATAGCAAGATAAGAGGCTTCACAGGATCACCATCATTAAATATAAATGGACTGAGGGGCACCGGGATGGCTCAGTTAGGCACGTGACTCAGGTCATGATCTCACGGTTCGTGGGCTGGGGCCCCGCAAAGGGCTCTGTGCTGACAGCTCAGAGCCCGGAGCCTGCTTCAGATTCTGTGTCTCCCTCTCTCTCTACGCCGCACCCCCCCCCCCCGCCCCACTCACTCCCTGCCCCTCTCTGTCTCTCAAAAATGAATGAACATTAAAAAAAAATGTTTTAAATGTCAATGGACTAGACACTATACAGACTGGATTTCAAAAAAGATCCAAATATATATAGTTGACGTGAAGTATAGTGCATGTGTAATTGATTTACAAAGAAACGTTAAAAGGATATAAAAAAAAGATAAAACATGCCAATCCCAAACAAAAGAAGACTGCTATGGCTGTCTATTACTAGAGAAAGTAGGCATTTAGGAAAGAAGTAACATGATAGATAAAGAGAGAAATTTTATAATGATAAAGTGTCAGTTCAACAGGCATCAGTACGTATGTGCCCATAAGATGACCTCAGCATGTATAAAGCAAAGATTTAACAAAAGGGTACAGAGACAAATTAACCATCGTAGATGCAGATGTTAACATCTCTTTAACAGATAAAGAAAACACATCAAAGATTGGTTACAATATACATGATTTGAACAATGCCATTAGCTAACTTCACATAATTGGTATTTACAGAATGATAAAGCCAAAACCTGCAGAATGCACATTTGTTTCAAACACACTGGGAACATTCATCAAGACGCCACATTCTGTTCCTTAAGCAAGTTGCTACAAATTTCATCAGACTGAAATGATACAGAATACAATCTTGGACCAGTATGAAACTAAACTGGATATCAATAACAACAACAACACAAAAACTAGAAAATCCTCCAACTATTTGGAAGTTAAAAAGAACAAATTATCCATAGATGAAAGAAGAAATCACAAGGGAAGTGTTTTTTGTTTTTTTTAATGTTTGAACCAAATAGTAATGAAAACACAGCATACCTGTATTTGTTAGAAACAGCTACAGTAGCGATTAGAGGGAATTGTAGAGCTTAAAATGCATGTGCTACAAGAGACGATAATTGAAATCAATTATCTATGTCTCCATCTCAACAAATGAAAATTGAGGTGCAAATTAAGCCCAAAATGAGAAGAAAGAAATAACAAAGCTAAGTTCAGGAATCAATAAAAATAAAAAGCAGGCAATCCACAAATACAAACGGCAAAGTATCTAAGCTACACTGGGCATCTGTGGTCCCACAAATGATTGTGACAGGTGGTGGTGGTCCAAAGGTGTGGGCTTAGGAAACAGTCAACAGAAACTTGAACCCCAGCTTCACCACTTTTTTATTGGTTTAACTTTAGACAGATTTCTGAACCCTTCTGGGCTTTGGTCATTTAACCCATTAGATGGGAATAATACCCCTTGGAGTTTTTTGGAGGATTGAATTCAAGAATGTTTTTCTGGACGCCTGGGTGGCTCAGTCAGTTAAGCGTCCGACTTCGGCTCAGGTCATGATCTCGGGTCCATGGGTTCAACCCCACATCAGCTCTGTGCTGACAGCCCAGAGCCTGGAGCCTGCCTCGGATTCTGTGTCTCCCTCTCTCTCTGCCCCTCCCCACTCACATTCTGTCTCTGTCTCTCAAAAATGAATAAACATTTTAAAAAAGAATATATTTCAAACACCTAATACAAAACATGATTTAGTATACGTGAATTTCTCCTTTTCCTTCCCTCCTTTCCTTATGGAAAGGAATTACTCAACTGGACATGTTGATTTCATCAAGACCTGTCTGGATGGTCAATTAAGTCCATTGATTCAAAGTCCATTGATTAATCAGTCAAATATTCAGAACACAGGATAAGTCTGAAGCATTTCTCCAGAGTGCTCTCTTATAGGGTTTTCGTCTTTAAAAATAACCATTAAGACTATTAGAGAAAAGCCACTATGGGGTGACCAAAACCCTATGTAAAAACCACAGGCAGTTCTATAATGTTTTCAACATACTGTTCATTTTCATCAGCCTAAAAAGGGCAACATTCAAACAATGGCATACTTTCCCTGCTTTTCTAACTTTCCTCACTAAATCTGGTATGTGTTATGCACACACAATATTGGTGAATCATGAATCACATTTAGCCTTGGAAGACTCAATTATGCACCCCATTCCTAGATGTGGAATACATGTATGTCAACATATACCTAATTCCACCTTCACACGGTTAAGCTTTGGTCCAAGAAGAACAGGAATTATTTTACTGCGATCTAAAAGTGAAAAAAAGAAAAGGAAAATGTTTCAGCGTTGCACTGAGCTTCTCTAAGACAAGTTTTTGTTGCAATATGCTTATACCATGTAACAAAAATTCTAAATAGTCATCACTATGTCATATTTTCATTAAGTAATGGTTGCAGCTAATATTGTTTGTTTCACTTTCCATCAATGCAAAGCTAATGTAACTGGAGGGAACACACTAAATTTGGTTTCCTTCAAATCTGTGGCTTCTGCAGCTATGTGGCAGAGGAAAATGTTCATCCAGGAGGGACAACCGCATCTGTAGGATTTAGATGCAAAGTCACTGGGACGTGCCTTTCTGCTCTTTCTTTCTTCTGTCTGCCCTTCTCAACCCCTCGAAGATGGATTTATTGGGCACAGGGTCTCTATCCGTGCTTTGGCAAGACACTCTCTCTCAGGTGCCAACCCTCCCCTCATAGACACTAAAGGAAGCACACCTTCAGTTCTGTGCTCTCGATACCTCACTTGCCTCACCTTAGTCCTGGCCCTGCAAGGTGTTCACATGTGTGGGCTCAGCTCTACTTCTGTTCCTGAGTGGCTTCTGACCTTGATCAGAGGTACATAATACTCTCCACCCCAGCCTCCCTCTAGTAATGTTTCAAAAGTAAATACTTCCCCTAGCAGCCTCCCACTGAATGCTCTCCTACAACCTAGGACGGCTGATAGCTGCACAACACTGAGAGCGCCTGTGGTCATACATTGAAATTGCTGTTGTCAAGTTCTTGTTACTCTTCTGATCAGCACTGGCAACTTTCCTCATGACCTAGACTCTCCCTTCTAGCACATCTGGCACTCCTAGGGCATTTACAAGTAACCTCCAGAGCAGCCTTCCTGGGACATACCTGTCCTCAGCAAACACGATGCCTGAGGACAAGGAGTAAAAGGCAACCCAGGAGCTCTCCCGCAGCGCCCTCACCTACCTGAGCTCTCTCAGAAAGTGTGATGCTGAAGAGTGAAGGGTTGAGACGGGAGGGGTGAATGTGTGGGTGAGAACTGGAGGATGAAACTCGCAAAGTGAAAGCCCAGGTGAGTCAGATTTGGTTCCTCTGGGGTTCAGAGTCTCTGGGCAAGCCTGGAATTGCTATAAGTGGACAGCGGGACCTGGGACGCCCCCAGAGAAAGAAGGAACTCTCGGCCTTGAGAGTATGGAGGAACATGAGTCGATTCAAGGACAAGGGGGCAAGAGGTGATTTTGCTGAAAATTGCCATTGCTTATCTTTCTCCGGATCCATTTTCTTCCCCCCGGGGAAGAGGTAGTGTCAAAGGGTATCTGTAGGACAGGACGTCTTTAAGACAGTATGCCATCTGCTAAACCTTGAAGGATATCGGGGCGCCTGGGTGGTTCAGCCGGTTAAGTGTCTGACTTCAGCCCAGGTCATGATCTCACAGTTCATGAGTTCAAGCCCCGCATCGGGCTCCATGCTGACAGCTTGGGGCCTAGAGCCAGCTTCTGATTCTGCGTCTCCCCGCCTCTCTCTCTGCCCCTCCACCGCTCACGCTCTGTCTCTCTCTCTCAAAAATAAATAAACCTTAAAAACAATTTTAAAACTTGAAGTATATCATTGGAAACCCCAAGTACCCTGTCCCCAGCGTGCATTCCTCCTCATCCGTCATGTCCCACCTCTAAACTCAGCTCAGAGTCTCCTGACTCCGATCTATCTCTGGGCTCCTTCTGCACCCTAACATCACACAGATGTGTCCGGTTTCATACACTAGGTACTTCTATGTGGCTTATCACCTCTCCTGACTATTCCTCGAGAATAGTATAGAACTCACTTCATTGCTTATTTCCCTGCTTCCTTTACCTCCTGATGCTCAGTACAGTTTATTGAATACAGGCACCCTCAATAAATACCTGTTGAGTGAAAGCATACACTGAACAACAAAAAAAACCCACAAATTACTCGAATACAAAATAAGAGGGAGACATTCTACTACATACAAGTCATTTACTATCCCCCCTCCCCACCACCAATCTCTCCAGGGTGGTGAGTGACGCCCAAATTATTTGACCCTATATTTGAGCTAGTGATGTGGTCACGACTCCAAATAAGTTGCCTCTGGATTCCTGTGCTGGGTTAGAAGAAAGAAAACTCTGTTTCATAAGACACATTTCTTTCTTTCCAATTCTAACATTCCTCTTACCTCCAACGATTGTTACGTTGATGGTTTTGGTGACATTAAATAGTTTTCCATTATGAGGGATGGAAAACACACAGGTGTAATATCCCTGATCTTTAAACTCTGCATTCTTCTGTAAAACTGGGTTTGTACCATTGTTTATCTTTTTACAGTTCTGTTTTGTGAAAAAAAAATCAAGTTAAAATATTTTAAGTAAAAGCAGTATCATATTACATTGATTCAAATTTTAGAAATACTTTTATAGAAAAAGGGAAACAGGACGAAAGGTAGAAATTTCTGAGTCGATATCCCAGTGATTTGGCATTGCCTGTACAGCAACAATGAAACACGGTCCCATTACCTGTTATTATTACGGCTATTAATACATGCTGGGAAGTAGAATATAGGGGGAACTATAGCTGCTTCCATCATTTTCTTTTGATCGCTCTTTTACACACAAAGAGGGGAAGGGGTAAAGAGAGAGAGAGAGGGAGAATGGAGGGAGGGCAGGGTGGAAGAATGGAGCACAAGGAGGAGATAGAGAAAACTAAACAACAACAAAATCCCTGCTTGGGTGAAACCTTTCTGCATTCGTAACACTTTTTTTTTTTTTTAATTTTTTTTTTTTAACGTTTATTTATTTTTTTGGGACAGAGAGAGACAGAGCATGAACGGGGGAGGGGCAGAGAGAGAGGGAGACACAGAATCAGAAACAGGCTCCAGGCTCTGAGCCATCAGCCCAGAGCCCGACGCGGGGCTCGAACTCACGGACCGCGAGATCGTGACCTGGCTGAAGTCGGACGCTTAACCGACTGCGCCACCCAGGCGCCCCTGCATTCGTAACACTTTTAATCTAACCCATGTACTCAGGAACACCCGTGGTAGGGGTAGTGGAGATAGGAGCAGAATTACGCAGAGACCTGAGTACCTAACTGACTACCCACCCCCCTTGATGTCTTCCACAGAAGACAGTGGACTGATCAGAAATGTATCAAGAATATTCAAATACGTAGGCACACACAAACATGTCTCTCCGTCACAAATTTCCATACGGGTCACAGGAATGAATAATAGGAAAAAAGCCACCTTCTTCAATCGAGCCATCGGTCACCCATAGAAAAGGTTCTGAAGCAATCTAAGGTCCAGATACGGAGAACAGGAACGACACTGCTAAACTTGACTATGTGATGCTGTTCCTGCAAACGCCAACAAGAAGAACGTACTGCGTACATACTTCTCTCGAACTTGCCAAAGCCGGCAGCAACTGGGGCCAGGCCCAGAGGTCACTAGGAATGGGTTTGTGAAGCACCCACATGTGTCCCTCAACTCAGTAAATTGTTTCTGTGTATGTCAAATTTTTATAAACCCAAACTGTGTTTTTGAAGGCACGTTAAAATATCAATGTCTCTTCGTTTTCACTTCTAATCAGTTGTTTACTGATTTAGCTTCCTTGCTCTCCTCCCCTCAGGTACACCACAATCTCTAAACAGGCTGAGAATATTGAAGTGGTTAATCATCTAGCTAAAAACAACCTCTCATAGATCTCTTTTCTACATTTAAACATCCGCATGGTGACATTTCTTAAAACCTAGTGCATGAAACCTTACAAATTTATATGTATTGTCAAGTATTTGCACACTTGACAGGAAATAGAATCAAGTGAACTCAGGACTAACTCAGACGTTTGGAAAACATGTGGGTAAGAGCTTTCCTTGAAAACTCACAAGTAAACAGTGGTCAAGCAAAATATGCAAACAGAAGTTTCTAGGAAATCATCTGTGGCTTCAACTTTCCCAAGGGCTTCTGTCTGGATCACTCTCCCATACAGCTCATTAAAACTTCCATGACAGGGGTGCCTGGGTGGCTCAGTCGGTTAAGCGTCCGACTTCGGCTCAGGTCATGATCTCACAGTTTGTGAGTTCGAGCCCCGCCTCAGGCTGTGTGCTCACAGCTCAGAGCCTGGAGCCTGTTCGGATTCTGTGTCTCCCTCTCTCTCTGCCCCTCCCCGACTTGTGCTCTGTCTCTATCTGTCTCTCAAAAATAAATAAAAATGTAAAAAAAAAAAACCAAAAAACAACTTCCATGACAGAGTCACATTTGTTCTATAGAAATAATATAATTTGTGTTATGTGTCTGCATGTATGTATATTATGCATGTGTATATTATGCATGTGCATACTGTACATTTGTATGTAACACATATGTGACTGCATATATAATATCCACAGTACTGTCTACAAGAGCTCCTACAATTCAAGTTATACCAGCTGAAGAACATAGGCAATCCACAAAAGAAATAATACTGAGATGCAATAAAGATATAAAAATGTTTAATTTATTATTAAGAAAAGAAATGGAGAAAAAAAACACTAAAAATTACAGAACTTCTGCATGTCATATTTCTAAATGTTCTAAAGGTACGACTTCTTGGTGTGGTAGTGGTGGTTGAAAAAAGTGTTTTGAACTAGCATAGCTCCCCAGAGAGGAGCCAGCTAATGCACAGCAAAAGCTGTAAATGTGCTCATGGCCATTGATCCAATTATGCTACTTTTAGGGATGCGATTAAACAATAAAATTGTACATACACCCTAACAGTTACAGGAATGATATTTATTCTAACCTTATAAACAATAGTGGAAAGTAGGAAACTAACAAATGTCTAATACCAGGGGATTAATTAGATGCAAGTATAAAGCACAATGGAATCCCAGATTTGGAAGAATGTTTAAAGACACAGGGGAATAATCACAACATAATTTGTAGAGGATAAAGGAAAAATCCAGGCATAAAATACCACTTTTTATTTTTTAAAAGGTTTTTTTAAAATACCACTTTTTTTTTTTTAATTTTTTTTTTTTTAACGTTTATTTATTTTTGGGACAGAGAGAGACAGAGCATGAACGGGGGAGGGGCAGAGAGAGAGGGAGACACAGAATCGGAAATAGGCTCCAGGCTCTGAGCCATCAGCCCAGAGCCTGACGCGGGGCTCGAACTCACGGACCGCGAGATCGTGACCTGGCTGAAGTCGGACGCTTAACCGACTGCGCCACCCAGGCGCCCCAAAATACCACTTTTTAAAAGTAGATGTCGTGGCTCCTGGGTGGCTCAGTCAGTTAAGCCTCCGACTCTTGATTTTGGCCTCAGCTCATGATCTCACAGTTCATGAGTTCGAGCCCTGAGTCGGGCTCTGTGCTGACAGCATGGAGCCTGCTTGGAGGGAGGCTCAGGAGAATTGAGCCTGGCTTGGAGAATTCTCTCTCCCTCTCTCCTTCTGCCCCTCCCCCACTTTCTCTTTCTCAAAATAAATGAACAAACATTTAAAAAATAAAAATAAAAGTAGATGTTAACACACACACACACACACACACACACACAAACCCTAAAGTCTCTGGCTGGTGGGATTATGAGTGAGTTCTGCTAACTTCATTGTCCATTTTTCCATCTTCCAATTTCACAAAAGGAACTCGTATGTTTAGGGGGAAAAGTATATACAATGGAATTTAAAAATGTAAATATACATGGCAAGAGAAAATGCAAATCCTTAAGCTAGCTAGCAATCTTTTTTTATTTTTTTTTTAATTTTTTTTTTCAACGTTTATTTATTTTTGGGACAGAGAGAGACAGAGCATGAGCGGGGGAGGGGCAGAGAGAGAGGGAGACACAGAATCAGAAACAGGCTCCAGGCTCTGAGCCATCAGCCCAGAGCCTGACGCAGGGCTCGAACTCACGGACCGTGAGATCGTGACCTGCCTGGCTGAAGTCGGACGCTTAACCGACTGCGCCACCCAGGCACCCCAAAGCTAGCTAGCAATCTTAAAAATCAATTCACCAAAACAGAAGGGCAAGGAAGGAAGGGCAAGGAAGAAGGAAGTGTTATGTTCACTGAACAGTTCGGATGGGGCAGGGGCTCATTTTAGCCACCCCACCTGGCACCTGGCTCAGAGAGGTCGGCTAAGCTGTGTGTGTGGTGGGGGGTCATGCGACCTGCATGTGATGAGACCAAAATGCTCCACAGCCATCAGATTCTTACTTTGGAATTTTGTCCTTTGTTTCCTCAAGTCTTTTATTTTTAAGTTTATTTCTTTATTTTGAGAGAGAGAGTGTGCAGCACACAGCAGGGGCAGAGAGAGAGGGAGAGAGAGAGAATCTGCACTGGTGGTGCAGAGCCTGCTGTGTGGCTCGAACTCACGAACCCGTGAGACCATGACCTGAGCCGAAAATGAGAGCTGGTGACTAACTGAGCCACCCAGGCGCCCCTTTCCTCAAGTCTTAAGTTAAAATATTTTAAAAGCATTACCTTATACAGTGAAGTTCTATTGGCCAATGGTTGAAAGTAGTCATGTTTACAGGCTACGTGCAAAGATTTCTGAACTTCTACAGTTTTACTAGTTAGTAGTTTTTCAACAAAACAGCTGCTTTTACTTCTTCCAATGACATTTAATTTCCATTTACGAGTATCATTTCTATGAAATAAAGGTTTAAAGATATTTTATTAGTACAGAGACTTTGCAAATACCACCTTTCAGTAGCCAATGAAATTCTTTCCTTATTATTGTATAAAGAGACTTATTCATTGATGCCCAGACCCTGCCCCCTTTTGGCCCTGTGCAGTAAGAAATGTAACAATTGTCATGGGACAGAGGCGAGGGGCGGGGAAAGAGAAGAACCTTAGCGGCCCTACACCCACCCCCCCCCAACACACACAAACACCCTATTGCATACCATATATTATAGATACCAGGACAGAAATGTTTAAAACTTCAGTGAGCTTTGGAGATGGACAAGTTCAAAGATTCTTAACCCAGGATGGGACAGGGCATTGGTTTCCTGAGGTCCACAAACAAACTCCTGAACTTGTTTTCTGGAAGTTTGTATATATGCATTGGGTTTTATATTTCTCTGGGCTGTTTCTTCCAATCCTTTTCTCTTACTGTTGAGTAAACCCAGGTCTGGAGCACCTGCCCTCACCGTAGCTGTAGTAGCACTTTATGTGCCTTACTGAGCAAAAGTTAGTTTGAATAGTTTTATTGTTGTTGTTCCTTCTGATTAAAAATTAGTAATCTGGAAGAGGAAACAACTTTAACCATGTTTTTATAAAGGATCTCCTTTTTTTTTAAGTTTACTTATTTTAAGAGAGACAGAGCAGGGGAGGGGGAGAGAGACAGAGATACAGACAGAGAAAGAGAGAGACAGAGAGGGAGAGAGAGAGAGAGAGAATGAATCACAAGCAGACTCCTCGCTATCAGTGCAGAGCCTGATAGGGCTCGAACCCATGAACCTGTGAGATCATGACTTGCGTTGAAATCAAGAGTTGGACACTTAACTGACTGAGCCACCCAGGTGCCCCTAGAAAGGAGCTTCTAAGAAAGGAAATGTTTGCAACCTGATGTTTGTTTAAACTGAACTACAGGGATCCACGTACTAAATACAACAGACGTGTGTTAAATTGTCCTGTGTGTGTGACACGCTTGTACCGACCACAGGCTCTTACAGCCCCGACTCTTACATCTGTGGTAGCATGGGAGGAAGACTAGCACTCACTGAGTTCCAGGGATTGTCCTGAATATGTACAATGGAGATGGCTATTTCCCTTACTTGTGATAAGAAAGCTAAACTTCATGTAGCAACAGGGCCAGGATGCAAACGCACATCAGCTCGGCCCTCAAGGACAGGACTGCACTGCCCAATACTATGCTTTCACAGTCGATGTGACTCTGGCCCCTCCTTTGGGTATGCATTCATACAAGATTGACCAGGACTGGGAGGGAAGTGATGGGTGGGCTGACAGGCTTGTCCTGAAGGTTAAAAGCAGTAGGTCAATGGCCATGGAACATAATAGAGCTACCTGGACCTTGAGATGGATTTGGAATCCCGTTGGTATCATCTTCTTCTCAAGTGTGTCTACTGTTTCCCCTACTTCAGCCCCACTGAGCTGAACAGAGACCTATTTCCAGATATTTCTATCCCGTCACTTACGAGGAAGATAGTGCATGCATATTTCCATCTTATCAGGCCATATAGTTTTCTACCTCTGCAATCCTCAATTCCTAACACTCAGGAAGTCCCGACTGGTGGAATGCTTCCGTGTCCCCGCCACCGCACTGTGAGTGCCAGAACAGGCAAATGCCGGCCTTGCTAGAGGAACTCAAAGGATGGTGTGAAGCTGAGGCCAACTGACCCAAAGCTGTGATCATCTGTGTTCTCATACAAGGCCATCCCTTCCTGGTTGTGGAGCTACTCCTGCCACACAGGAAGGGACTTGAAAAGCTCTGGGCCATTCTTCTGAAGCCCCTTACCAAGCCAAGCTTGCTGTTTGTCAATCCAGAACATGATTGAGACATGATTTGCATGTGCTTTTTTCCTCTGTCTTCATGTCCTCCCCTCTACCACTGAAAACCCCCTCTCTCCTGTGTCCCCTCCCTTCTTGGTGGATTTTCCCCCTTAACATTTTATCTGACTTTAGGATTAAAGTATCAGTCTCCAGAAGCATTTGATTATTAGCAGAAGACTCCCTAGAAATGAAAGGATTATGGTTCTAATGGGGGTGGGGTGGGGAGGAGGATTCCAGGGATGGAATCTGGTCTTTGAAGGATTCCACACAAAATTCCAAAGGCTCATTCACGCATGTGCATACACACGCACACACACACACACACACACACACATACACACACACACACACACACACACACACACACACACACCCCTCTGAGGCAAACCAGTGCACCATATTTGAAAAAGCCCCCATCTTCAATGCCTCTAGGTGTCCAAACAACCTGTGTGGGTTCCCATTTATTTTCAAAACGATTGTCGAGGCTGTTCCTCATACCATCACTTTTGTCTCATGTTATTCGTCAGCCTCAAATACCCTTTAATGTTCGTCACCACAGCCCCTGAGTCACCTCATTGTTCCTGGCCTCTTGCACCCTCTTCCTGGTTCTCCACACGTCTCTGACAGCCTATCTGTTGGACTATTCCAATTTTCCTTCCTAACCCAGGCTGTGTTCCCCACCTTCCATATCAGAAAGACAGTTAATGCTTTCCCTCCCTGTCTCCAAGCGACATTTGTAGGTAACTGTCTCTTCCCCTCCATGTGCTCCTTCTGTCCAGTCTGGAATGCTTCCTTCAATCATGCCTTTATTCTGTCAGGATTAAGGAGATTTTTTTTAACCCCATTTGTGAATATTCATTCTACGTTAGTGTGAGAAGACCCAGTTGTGATCCATTTCTGGAATCATCTCTCTTAAAGAGTCACATAAAATCCACTGCTGGTCAAAACAAACAACAGAAAGAGTTCTCAAATGTTCTCTCTGACTCCTGGGAGTTCCTATGCATAAAAACAAACCCAAATGACCTCATTTTGTGTAAAACCACAGGAGCGATAACAAGGTTTCACTGTGATATCTCACTGCACTCTCAACAGCACTGTTGACGATGATCGGGACCCACCCCAGAAATCGACTACATCTGCCAGCACACCACCACGACTCACCTGGCCCTGAGCTATCTTCCACAGGTCAGTCTCACATCTCCATAGAAACATACGTATACATACACACCTACGCAAGTACGCACACTACATCACAAATGTGCCAGATGAACACTATGTCACCGACACTACTAATCCATCACATAGAGCCCTGCTTGTCCAAGTTACTCCTTCCCACCTCACCAAATAATGTATAAAGAGAACCCAGCTCAGTGATAATCACTGACGCAGCGGTTGCTCTCATTTCACAGAACTTAGGACTCTTGATGAGGAGCGTCCTGGCGTAGACTGGAGCGGTCTGGCCTGCGAAGGCTGTGCAAAGCCCTTTCCGCACTGCCTTTCCCCCTGCCCCTGGCTGTAGGCTTGTGATTGGCTGCAAAACCCACACACTCGTCATGAACACTACTGCCTTGTCCCCAACAGACCCCGAAACACTGAACTAGGATGTGTCTGTATCAATTCCAATCCCTCTCCTCAGCCTGCAGATATCACCCAGGAAGCTGAGGCCACCCCCTTCACTGCATGTTCATTATGGAGCTTCACCAATTTAGTCCATTTGGCCAGCAACTCTAGACAACAGGAACAGTTGAGTTTTAAAATGAATTTCATCTGATACCTACTTACCTTTGGTAAGGATCCCCTGAAAGAAGTATTAAGGGAATCTTTCGTTAAGATCACTAAGAAGATAGACACAAGGGCAATATTTAATTTAATTTTCCAATGATGAAGTATTGATCGCATGCTGGAAGAAGAGTAGGGGGGAATAAATGCATGGATTATTCTTTCAGACTGCTGTATATGTGACTGGCTGAGCTAAGTCTAGGGGTGCTACGAAACATACTAACACAAAGAGAAGCTATACTCACCCCATTTGGAAAAAGTAAGATCCACTGTCCTCCAACTCAACTGGCCAAAACTCCAAAACATAATCGTGCAAAGTAATTCTGGGGGAACTGCTTGAGTTTAGCTCAATGCGTCCATGTGATCCACTGCTCTTGTACCATTTTATGGTGTTTTTTTCACTATCGTGCTCAGATGCTGATGAGCAGTATCTCAGATAGAAAAATTCCCCTTCCACTGCAGTGATGCTATGACGTGAAATACATGTTTCTTCATAAGATTAGCAAAGGAAAAGGAAAAAAAAACACAGGTAAATTTTGTCTTTCCTAATGCATTAGGAGAATAAGCCAGGTTAGTAAGAAAATTGTAAGCAATCTCAGTCTGGTGGGTTCTCTTATCTTAGGGTCAATTTTTCCAACATCAGGGCACTTTCGGGACGTAAAGGAAGACAACGTTTCCAACAGATTTTCCCAAACAGGACGGTACCAAAACTTAACCTATCATAACTGAAAGACAGATAAATGTAGTGTAAGCTTTTCAAAGAAAACGCTACACATTACAATTTCCTTGTAAGGAAAGCCACAGAAGTCACAATGTTGCCACATCTACGCCCAAACACCCCTAGCTGGGGAGTCTCCGTAGAAATGAAAACCAGAAACCTGGAGGCCTTAGAGTTCATCATCTGCCTCAGCAGAAGTGTCACCTCGCCTGTTCTCAACCAGCCTACCTAACCATTTCCTGGGCAGACAGAGAGGGTGGTTAAGGGGCTCCTATGTAGCTTAGAGCGTGTGTGAGTTCATTATCTCTCCAGGTTACCACGTGGATCATCAAGAATTGATTAATATAATATCACTCCAAATCCAGGTATATGTCACTTCCCTCCTTGAGCGCTTTTGCAAGCTGTCTCTTTCTCTCTCCCTGCCTCCCTCCCTTCCGTTTTCCCAACTAACCCAGATACTCTAGCTTTGGAAATTCATCTAATTCTGTCAGCTAACAGAGTCATCATTCCCGTCCTTTTGAATTTGTGATAGTTCAAAGTCAGCCCTCATGGACCCTTTCCATATCCTGTTTTCCAGTGGCTGCTGGGTGCCCTTTTACTTTATTGAAGTATAATTAACATATAATAATATCAGGTGCACAACATATTGATTCAACAATTCTATACATTACTCAGTATTCGCCATGGTAACTGTGGCCACCGTCACCATACAATGTTATTAAAAATATTATTGACCATACTTTCTATGCTGTACTTTCCATCCCCGTGACTTATTTATTTTTATTTTATAAATCATAGTTTATTTCTGTGCTTAAAAGAAATATTTTATATATCATACATTGAAATAATTATGCTTAATAATACTTTCTATGTTTAAAATAAATATTCTATATATCATATATTGAAATACTTACATATTTTATATATTTTAGTATAATTTTATATAGTTTAATTTATGAATTATAGTTTACTTCAGTTATTTTATAACTGGAAGTTGTAATCCCCTTTTTCTATTTCACTCAGAGCCCCACCTTCCCTCGGGCAACCACCAATTTGTTCTCTGTATTCAAGAGTCTGGATCCGTTTGTTTGCCCATTTGTTTTGTTTTTTAGATTCCACATATAAGCGAAATTATATGGTATTTGTCTTTCTCTGTCTGACTTATTTCGCTTAGGATAACATCCTTTAGGTCCATCCATGTTGTCACAAATGGCAGGATCTCATTCTTTTTTGTGAATGAGTAATATTTCATCACATGTTCCCACACTAATTCATATGCCCACAAACAGGATTAACTGAATTTTGAGAATGAGAATCCTTAAATTAACTAGAGCACTTCACGGAAGGCATGGAGAAAATGCCTCCTTCATACTTAGGGTCTATTTCTCAAAGCAGTTGTTTGGTTTTAATTCGATGTTGTTAACCACAATGTAAAGAGGAAGTGGCTCAAATGGTAGACGTATTCTTTGAAAACATGGATGTCAAATCTACCTCAAAGTACAAGTGTTACTGAACACCAACCTTGTGTTTGGTGGTTGTTATAGAAGCTCCATTTTACATTTCGGTCCTTCAACGTAGAAGGTGTGATACAGGTGTAAGTGTTAGTGTTAGCTTCAATTGACATCCGAAAGGATGGTATGTACAAAACGATGTAATTTATTTTCCTGTTTTAGAAGTACGACACACATAAAGCCGTACAATATGTGCTCTTCTGTGCCTGGATTCTTTCTTACATCATCATGTCTATGATAGGCATCCATGTTGCTGCATGTAGCAGTGATCTGTTTTGTCTCATAGTTATGCAGTATCCATGCCGTATCCAGTTGTGTTTGTATATGATAATTTAGCCATTCTAGTGGTGTTAAACATATGGATTATTTCCAGATTTTGGCCAGTCTTTAAAAAAACCCAGAAACTTCCATAAACATCTGTGCCTGTGTTGTGATAGACATATCCACCATTTCTTTTTGGGAGTAGTAATCCTTTGAAGAACCCTAACCTGGATTACATTCTTTCCGGGGGTAGGTGGTTGGAGTTGGAAGTTCACACTCTCCTGGCAACTAATGGCTTCAGCTACCTAATCCTGTGCTTAACACTAAAGACCTTGTTGATTAGAAATGGTTTTTGGGGGCGCCTGGGTGGCTCAGTTGGTTGAACGTCTGACTTCCGCTCAGGCCATGATCTCACGGTCCGTGGGTTCGAGCCCCGTGTCGGGCTCTGTGCTGACAGCTCAGAGCCTGGAGTGTGCTTCAGATTCTGTCTCCCATTCTCTCTCTCTGCCCCATCTCTGCTCTGTCTCTGTCTTTCAAAAATGAATAAACATTAAAAAAAAAATAAAGAAATGGTTTTTGGTTGAAAAAAATGACTGGAGTTCAAGCTGTGCAGACTGCCCAGGCAGGTACTCACTCCCATTCTTACATGAACAGAGAGTAAAAATCCAACAGCATCAACAACCTAGACCCTTTGGAATGATATCTGTGTTTGGAATTGTCTTGAGTTTGGACAGTAAATAGGATGCTGTCACTCAACTTCTACTAGGTTAAATGAAACCTCATGTAGAATACTGTCATACTTGCCTAGATTAAAGCCTTTATGAAGGTTCTCTGAAAGGACAAAGAGCTGGGACCTTAGTAAACTTACAGAATGGGCTGTCTGGCTGTTTCTGAGCCTGAAACATGTTTCATTGTAATTTGGGAGCAAGGTTAGTTATTAGTATATATCTACAGAGCAAGGTGCCCATGATGCACACTTTTCTGCACCTTGCTTTTTCACTCAGCAGTTTCTAACAGAGGATTCCATATCAAGAGGAGCAGATCTACCTCCTTCAACATCTGGATAGTATTAACCTGTATGGATCTCAATAAAAATGGACCCACTTTAAGTAAATATTAGACAGGAATTATTGGAAAGTATCAATTTGTTCTCTCTCGAGCAGTAATTCTCAGAGTTGGGGATATGGGCTAATATGCTTCCCTCTCCTAGATGACAGGTCAAGGCAAATCGGTATTGGCATTCCCACTTTCTCTTCCAAGGCATAAGGAGAACCTTGCTTATCAGTCACGTGTCTCTTCTCCAAAGGATCCTAATGAGACCCCAGAATCATTCTCGGTAAGTTTCCAAGTCATCACTGCTACTGTTAATCAGTTAAAATTGCTATCTGCCATCTGATATAAAGACTACATGATTTCCCTAGTCTACACAGTCTTTCTTAGGTACTCCTTCTAACTCGAATATTTCCCTCAAGACCTGTAAAGTATTCCCCCTCACTGTCTTCATCACCTAAATAACAAGATGAACCTTGGCCTCCGCGTTGGCAGAAAAATAATGTGTATAAAACTTGCTAAATATCAACAATAAAGATGGGTGTGAACTCTTCAGTTTTCAATAACACAAAGCAGAGTTTCACCTCAGACAAATGTAATGTGTTTCCACACACGATCCTGCTCTCTCTACATAAACTCAGAGAACTAAATATTTCCTTTTCAGCAATCCCATATGATTCTTTACTTGATTCCATTTCTACAAACGTTTTATTCTCTATGCCAGGGACACGAATTGGTAACTCTCAAAGTAAAATTTAAAACCACTAATGTTAATAAATTCAGCATTTTAAGTAGCCACTTCCACATAAAAAAAAGTGAAACCTTGCTCTTCCCTCTCAACTACCAATGAAGTATGTCCGTGAATGATTATAATTACTTACCTGAGGTGCTTGTAAACATAAGTGCCAAAAGTGTTAAGAGCAGTTCTATATGACGCATATTTAGGATTCTGTTTCCAGTGGTTTCTCTGGAAAACAGAGCAAGATGGGTTCAGCCAAAACTTGCAAACAAAAGTATACCTGTCTCATGAAGGAGATTTTAAAACATCTTCTGGCATGCAAACTTTAAAAAAATCAGCACAGTAAGTTTCCATATCCCTTAATAGAGTCACCAAGTGTTCTCAGAACTTTCAGCCATATAGAATTCATCACATTTCAAGGCAGGAAAAATTCCTAATAATGCAATTTTCTAATACAAGAGAGTCTGCTGTACAGAAAATCTACTATTCTATGAAAGAACATTCTGTGAAGTGCCAAGATATGTATGGCAGGTCTACTCATGTAGGGGTGTGTGTGTGTGTGTGTGTGTGTGTGTGTGTTCTTTTTTTTTCTCATCACACCAAAATGCTCATTGTGATCTTCATGTGTGGCTTGAATTTTTAAATATCCATCTTTCTTCATCAGAACTAAGTTCTTGATAAGTTAGGAATTAAGTCTGTTTTGTCCATTATTATATCACTAACATCCCAGCACACAGTCGTACAATGCTTAGTACGTAGTAAGGACTAATGCTCATTCCGGAGGAACAGGTGTACGGATGTGTGCATGCATGTGTCTATACACACATGCCCACGTGTGTTTATTTTAGGGAAACAGAGACAAAGCAAGAGTTTCCTACACTCCAAATGCCTAATCTACATTGGGTCAATGAACTCAAATCTGTGTTGAATTTCAGTCGTACTCTAACCCATCTTTTGTCCTGTGAATTACAATTTTAGAGAGTAGGACAGGGGAAAGGGGCAGCAGGGCTCTTACACCTGGGTTGGCATCTCCAGCTGAGTCTCAACCAGCTGTACAACCTCGGGCAAGTTACTTAAAAGTCTCAGAGCCTAGCTGCTCATTACCAAAGTGGAGATGATAAGAAGGCCTATGACCAAAATTACTGAGTGATAGAATGAGCTAATGTTTGCCAAGGCTTTCTGAATGCATAGTGGCCTCTCAGTCCCAAATAATTCTCTTATTAACTGCCATGCACCTCCCATACTTAAAAAAGAAGAAAAACAGTTAACGTCCAAATCCTGGATGAAGTTTAAGGGCTATGCAGTCAGACCATTTACATCAATCTTTATGAATAACATCACAAAGCAAAGCATCTGATGTAATTTCCAAGAGATAATAATCAGTCACGTAAAGGGTTAAGTAGGTATGGAAAGTACCAAGTGTTCAAAATAACTAAATTAGAATATTTCTATGGTTCTATGGTTTGAAATCAATCCCCCACCTACACTCACACACACATATTTATTATTAACTATCTATTCTCTTACCTTGGATAGAATGAAACGTGTTGTTTCCTCTGGTGAAGGTTGACACAGCCTTATAAAGGGCACTGCTATTTTTTCTTGGTTTTGGTTTTTGTTAATTTTCAAGGTCTACTGAGAGATAAAGTTATTAAGAAATAATCTAGCATTCTGATGAGTTAACTCTGAGTTTCAATATGAATCATGTTAAGATCCCAGTATACAAATTAGCTGATATTTGCACTGCTCTGTGTATGTAAACATAAAAATTTTATTGTGCTTTTCTGGATTTAAAAGATTAAGATATTAAATAATAGAACTCATTACCAAAAGAAAAGCTATTCTGGAAATGTCACATTTGGTACCATGTGTGATGTTGATTTTTTTTTTGCCTTTCCATAATATTTGAATTTCTTTCTTCTTTCTTTCTTCCTTCCTTCTTGCTTTCCTTCCTTGCTTCTCTCCTTTCTTTAAAAAATTTTTTTTTCTGATTTCTAAAGTATTATATGCCCAATAGGGGGCATTTATAAAATGAAGATTGAAAAGAAGAAAATAATCTCAATATGCAAAATAATTTAACATGTTTCCTTGTGCTTTTTCTACATATTTTTTCAACTAATTAGGATTATGTTTAAAAAGTTTCATATCCTGCATTTTCTACTCATTAAATGAGCACCTTCCTGTGTCACAAAAATGTCTTTGCTACCATCATCTTAATTGCTACATATATTCCTTGATATGAGTCTAATTATAATTTATAAGATATATTTGATTACAAAATAACCCCATGGCCATCTTCTCATGTCAGACGATATGTATCAGTTTTTGGAGCCCGGCCTCTGGGGCCAGACTGGCTGGATTTGAACCCTCATCCTACTCTTTATCAGATGAATAATTAATTAAAGAGTCTTGCCTTTCTTATGTGTTGACAGCATAGTTATAAGTATGGGCCCTCTGTGCAAGCACTCTGTGGAAATCTAACAGTATGACTGCTCAGGAAGTGCAAATATATGCAAGCACACACACACACACACACACACACACATACACACACACACACCACTCTCTCCTCTTCCGTTGTGTTTTATTTTTCCATTCATAGCACTTATTGCTAACGGATACACTTTATTTTATGTTTGTTTATTATCTGCTGAATTAACACACACATTAGATTCATTAACTATATACAGT